TTCCTTAAGTACTCTGGGATGTAGATTATCAGGCCCTGGGGATATTTCTGCCTTCAATTACAACAATTTCCCCAGCATCATTTCTCTACTAATATCGATCTCCCTCAATTCTTCCCGCTCACTAAATCTTGCATCCTCCAACAATTCTGGTATCTGATTTGTCTCCTCTTTTGTGAAGACAGAACCAAAGCATGTATTCAGTTGCTCAGCCTATAATGTGCCCTATTATGCATGCCCCCATTTCTGTCTGTAGGGGAGCTACATTTCTCTTCATCAATCTTTTTCTCTTTACATACCTACAGAAACTCTGAGAATCAGTCTTTATGTTCCCTGCAAACTTACTTTTGTACTGTATGTTTTCCCCTTCTTAATCAATCCCTTGGTCCTTCTTTGCTGAATTTAAACGGCTCTCAATTCTCAGACATATTATGTCTCTCGGCCAATCTGTGTGCTTCTTCCTTGGATTGGTACTGTCTCTACTGTCCTTTGTAAGCCATGGATTGCCCTCTTACCCATTTTGCTTTTGTGCCAGACAGGAATAAACAGTTGTTTCAGTTCCCCCATGCTTTCCTTGAATGTTTGTCATTGTCTATCCACTGTCATCCCTATAAGTAACTCCCCCCAATTTATCAAGGCCCACTCACGCTTTATACTTTCCTATATTAAGATTTAGCACCCTTGTCTCCGTATCAACTACCTCACTCTCCATCTTGATAAAAACGTCTATCATGTTATGGTCACTCTTCCCCAAGGGGTCTCGCACAGCTAGATTGGCAATGATTCCCTTCTCATTACACAGTACCCAGTCTAAGATGGCCTGCTCTCTAGTTGCTTCCCCGATATATTGGACAAGAGAACCATCCTGTATGCACTCCAGGAATTCCTCCTCTATGGCATTGTGTCCAACCTATGTACAGATTAAAATCACCCATAATCACCAATATTCCCTAATCACATGCATCTCTAATTTCCTGTTTAACGCCATTCCAACATCACTAATGTAGTTTGGGGGTCTATATATGACACCCAGTAATGTTTTTTGCCCCATTGTATTTCTCAACTCTACCCATACAGACTCCACATTGTCAGAGCTAATATCCTTTCTCACTATTGTGTTAATATCCTCTTTAATCAGCAATGCTGTTCCATCACCTTTTCCTTTTTGCCTGTCCTTCCTAAATACTGAATACCCTGGGACATGCAGTTTCCATCCCTGGTCACCCTGCAGCCACGCCTCTGTAATCCCAATGATATCATACCCGTTTACATCTATCTGTGTGATTAGTTCATCCACTTTATTGCAAATGCTCCGGGCATTAAGGCACAAAGTCTTTAAGCTTATCTTTAACATTGTTTGTCTTGCACTTATTTTTCTCAATAGCTCTGTTTGAATCTTGTCCTTGGTTTCTCTACCTATCACTTTTCTTATCCCCTTTTCCATCTTTTGTTTTTGTCCTTGCTCCCTCCTTCTCTGGCTCCTTACACAGGTTCCCATCCCCCTGGCATATTAGTTTAAACCCTCCCCAACTGCTCTAACATACACCGGCCCTAAGATATCAGTCCCAGTCCTGCCCAGGTGTAACCTGTCCAGTTTGTACAGGTCCCACCTCCCTCCAAACCAGTCCCAATGCCCCAGGAGACTGAAACCATCACCCTGACACCATCTTTTCAGCACGTATTCATTTGATATATCCTGTCATTTCTATTCTGACTAGCACATGGCACTGGTAGTGATCCTGAGATCACTATTTTGAGGTAGTTTCAGGAATAGTGCATTTTTAGGATGGGAAAGAAATTAAATGCAAGAGCCACCAGGGATGTATGTGTGATCGGTAATTAATGAGGTATTTTGGTAAGATGAGGCAAGAAAACACAAAATGCAACTTGGACTTAGTCAAAAAAACATGAGATTCAACCCATTAAATCAAGATGACTTAGGAGCCCTGTAAAAATGATGCACAGGTCCCAAATTCAAGATTCTAAGCCCCATTTTCAGGGTTTTCAATTTCCAGGATTGCCTTTTAAGGGGATGGCTTTTCTTAATTGCAAGTCTGCTCCCTGCTTTCTCCACATGGCCAGACTACATTGTAGGGATAGGGATATCCTAGTCCTCTGCAATCATTATGGAGATAGGTTGGCTTTTAAATGACTTGCATTTTATGGCACCTCAGAGATGTTGTGAACTATAGTTTGTATGATGGAATAATTTCAAATGTAAGACCAGAGGTCCTCCTCATGATCCCCCTGCCAGGCTTTCACCCATGCCATACCCACTCATGCTGCCTGTGCCCATGCCACATTCTATCCATCATCATGGTCCTTCATATCTCCAAGACTATTTACGGGAATCCACTATTCACTGTAGAGAGGTCATGAAATCCATAGCAACAACATTATGTATGAAAAAAGCATTTTTAGAAAACCATTTATACGTTATCTTTCACTTTACTAAAGTAAAACTTATTTTACTACAAACCAATAGAAGGACCAATCATTGAGACCATTAAAGTATCAATGTCAGAAACTGAAAGTAATTGAAATCTCAAACTTGTGTAAATTAATATTTTGAAATTAACATAGATCAGTGACACAGAGATGTTAAGCAAGCAATATTTTTCCTTGAAATCATCTGTTTCAACAGATTAGTGGATTTCTGAACCTTCAGCTGGGCCTCATTATACATTCTTAGGTAGAGGGCCTTGCTTTCTCCAATATAACTCAGACTGGGTCTCACAATTCACTGAGGCAGGCCATTTAAAGACCCTAGCAATGAATATTACATCACAAAAGTCACTTAATCCTGAGGTAGGTCCTCCACAAGAGGGAAACATCTTTTTCACCTACATACTATTAAGGTTCTTCAGAATTTTATCTATTTCAATTAAGTCACCTCTGACTTTTCTAAACCGCAGCAAATATGAGCATAGCCTGTCCAATCTTTACTCATAAGAAAACCTGTCCAGGGATCAGTCCAGCAAATCTTCTGTGAATTGCTTCCAAAGGATTTCCATTCTTCCTTAAGTATAGAGACCAGTACTGTGCACAATACTTCAGATGGATCTCACTAACAGCCTGTGTAGCTGAGGCATAACTTCCTACTTTGTCTCCAGTTCCCCTTTTAATAAACAATATCATTCCAGTAGCTTTCTAATTACTTGCTGCACCAGCATACTAACATTCTGTGATTCATTCATGAGGACACCAGCTCCCTCTTCATTTTAAATCTGATACTTCTCAACATTTTGATAATATGTTTAGTTTTTATTCTTCCTGTTAAAATGGACAATTTCACATTTCCCACATTATGCTCGTTTTGTCATATCTTTCGCCACCCACTTACTCTATCCCTTTACGGCTTTCTTATATCCTCTTCACAACTTATTTTCTTACCTATCTTTGTATCATCAGCATATGTAATAACCATATGTTCAGGCCATCATCCAAGTCATTTACATAAATTTTAAAATGTTGAGACCCAAGTACTGATCTCTGTGGTACATCATCATTTTATCTTGCCAACCAGAATATGACCAATTTATTCCTACCCTCTGTTTCCTGTTAATTAGCCAATCTTCTGTCCATGCCAAATGGTACTTCCCCGCACCACAAGCTGTTATTTTCTGCAGTAACCTTTCATGTGGAACCTTATCAAATACCTTTTGGAAATATATGTGCAGTACATCCACCAGTTCAACTTTATCTACTTACTTCTTCAAAGAACTCTAATAAATTGGTTAAACATGATTTCCCTTCCAAAGGTTATACATTCTAGCACTGAGGCGACAGCATACCTTGCAGGATTTGCATTGGTAGTTGCAGAAATGTATGTCTATTTCCCTGACTATTGAAGCTTCTGCAACTACGCAATTTCTAAACTAGACTGTTCCCGCTGTGAAATTATTTGTTCCATAGTTTCGTGAATATGTGAAAGATTGCAGTCCTAGTGGTATTACTTTTACTGGTAGTCAGTTTCAGGCAATGCTGCACTGAAAGGACTCTGGCACTGTCCATTGGACACAAAGTTCCTATAAATAGCTACAGCATGATCAGCTCCTGGAACTGATTCGCACAGAAATTTTCCCTTATGCTTTGCTGTGACTCCTCAAGCTAAGAAACAACAAGCTCAACTTCAAGTATCTCGATATTCATTGCATCTGAAGTGCATGGCAAGATATGCCCCGAATCTCCCATGTAGCACAGAAGCATATAATTAAATACTTCACAAATTTCACATCTCATGATTAGATACAATCTTTCAATTAAAAGTACTATTGATCATTAGTATTTGGTCAATACTAAACTTCACCCACAAGTGAATATCTTGCGAATATCTTTGTAGAAGAGCAAGAAAATATTCCATCTCCAATGCTGATACCATCATCACCCGAAGCACCACAACCCAGCTTTGGGAGGGGGGAGGAGTGGGGTGTGGGAGTCCTTAGAATTAACTGCAAAGAAGTGTGCAGTTCAAATCTTGGTTAAAAAAAAAAATTGAAAGGGTGAAGTAGGGGAAAGGAGCATCTAAAAAATTGGGGAAGCTGCTGCAAAAGGAAGCAGTTGAAAGCTAGTAGCAAAGAAAAAATATTTGATGAGGATTTCAGAACTGGCACTGTAGCAGCATGAGCTAGGTGACGTATTCTTGTTGGGCTTTTGAATACTCCATGCCATAAAGTACAGAACACGGTGAGTGAAACATTCTTCATTTCTTAATCGAACATTCCCTGCATAATAATTTTGAAGTTGTGTTCAAACTTTGAGGTCAATAAAGCTGAAATTTTAGTTTCTTTTTTTCACTTCTATTTCTGAGCATTGAAGTTTTCATAAACCCTTTTCTGAAAAAGGAAGCTAGGCACATTACACGTGTTTGAAGGAATGAAGATTTGGTTTTGTGTTAAAATCTACCTTTATGCCGTAAATGGGCTTTCTGTGTAGGCATTATTTCATAGTAACTGGCGCACTGCCTGTTACACATTTGGTTTTACTGAAACCTGTTGCACAACTTGAGCACCTCAAAGTGAGCCTGGCTTCCCCATTTGATTAGTTATTAGTCTGAGAGTAAGAAGTTGAAGTTTCTTCATGTTCAGCCATGCAAACCATTGGGAGACGATTTTAGACCTCTGGCACTTTAATGCAGAAGATTGATCAGAATCTGCTGAACTTCCGAATATTTTTGTGTCACAAATTACAGAGGGTGGTGAGTACAATATTTTTTCTTACCTTCAGGCTCAGAATCAAACAACTATATGTTTTTGAAAATGTTTTTAAACGTTTCAACTTTCAGAATGTAAATAGAAATTACAGTGTATCAACAATGAAACTTTTGTAGGAATTGAGATATTTACTTTCAAAAGGAAATCAATGTGTTTCTATGTGTTTGCCCATGTGGAGAATTTCTGTTCGTTTGTGTCTGGAAATATTCTTTTGAAAGCAAAAGCTAATGAAGAAAAGTCCCCAAAAACTTCAGACGGCTTTTCGGCCTGAATCTGGACTTCATGGTAGTTTCAGTGAGTCGACCGTTAAGTGTGTGGGGAAGACAGGAAACCTGAAGAAAAGCATTGCAGGTTTAAGAACAAATTCTAGACAGATGGGGACAAAGACTTCCTTTGGTTGATATTTGTATTCAGTCACAATGTGTTCTTTGCACGGGGTGTTATAATATCAGTACAAATAGCAAAGAGAAGGGATCTGTCACTCCAGAGGAAGAAAGGTGAAGGCGCACATGCTGAAAAAACCCCAACTAGTGTTCTTCCTCAAATGTTCAGTTTTAATGATTCATTTCCCCCTTTCTTTAATTCTATCTTTGGGCAATAATATGAAAAACATAGTTCAGTAAGAAGGAGTTGTTTCTCTATGTAAATAATAAAATATTCTCAAACTGTGCAAGGCATCAAATGTCGTTGTCACAAATAGACATATTTTTGACAATATACTCAGTTGCTGACATGTTTCTACCACATCATGACCTTGCTATTTATGTCTATAAATTAGTCGAATGTTAGAACTGTTTTTGTCATTCAATGATATTCTAAATAACAGCACAGAGTTATAGACTTCTCTATGTAATATAGATCCTGTTAACAGGACGCAAGAATCTCATAAAGTTGTCAGCGGCTTTGGAGAGGAACAGAGATGTTTTACTGTAGTAATGGAAGTTAAGTGAATGGACCAGACATTGTCAGTCTATAGGTCCACTTGCTTTTATTTTATTATTGAATTAGCACCAAGGAGTGTTCCTGAATTAGATGAGTTGAAAAATTCGTGTGCCCTTTTCTTCAACTTATGTAAAATTTTTTAAAATGTCAAAATATCTGAAATTGTTCTTTATTGCACAGAAACACACCATTACTTTATATTGAGTTCTTCAGGGTGAAGGAGGTCTATGTATTAGATTTAACCTCTATCTTGGCCAAAAAATTCCACTTTGAGTGCAATCAGGGATTCGGGTGTAAATCACACTCAAAATCACATTTTTTTAAGTGCTCCTTTTTGTTCAGGCATCTACTCAAATTTTTTTGTATGTTGCCAATTATCTCTCATGAACCAGCATAATCAGCAGTATTTTAAATTGTAATCAAAAAAATTTGCATTAAAAATATTCCTTGATCTATTTAAGCATGGTAACCTGATGCAGTTTATTAATAGTCAAAAATGGATTTATTACAAAATAAGCATTTTTAATTACCATGTGAATCCAGCACCATTGCGTAACTCAATTTTTAAAAATTGAAAAAGACTTAAAAATCTACATTTTAGATCTCTTTGTACAGTAAAGTTAGCAGAACCTCACAATAGTGGTTAGTTTTAATAAAAACTGAAGTAATTGCGGATGCTGGAAATCAAAAGCAAAAACAGAAGTAGCTGGAAAAGCTCGGAAGGTCTGGTAGCATCTGTGGAGAGACATCAGAGTTAGTGTCTCAGTTCCAGAATGGTTCTGAGGAAGGGTCACTGGACGCGAAACATTAACTCTGATTTCTCTCCACAGCGTTTAATTTGATCTGGGAGTGTGGCCATTTTTGTGGACTGGGTGGTCTTTTAATGTGGCGTTGTTTAAACTGGTGAAAAAGATCACAACAACTCGAATTGCACTGCATGTAATTTGCATTTAAAATGCTGCCAAACTTTCAAACTATTTTCATCAATTTCAAATGATAGAACTGAAATAACGTGCCGCCTAGTGGAAGGTCCAGACTTTGCCAAGTCACTCACAAGTCATAATTACCACTCCTCATGATTCATGATGTGTTTATTTGGTACAAGCTGCAGTTTACTGACTTGAAAATTGTTAACCATCTCATTAGTTTTTTTTTACTGATGTTACAATGAGGCAAGAGATAGAGTTAGAAAAGTGGACTCAAAAATCGCTTAACACTCGGACAGAAGAGAAGCAGCAACAGACATTTAAGCAGGTATCTCATCATTTTCAACAATGATGTATTCCATTCGGAAAGAAAGACTCTATGAGAAAGCTTCCCTATCTGAGGCTATCTAAGGATATTAGTAAATCAGAAGTGAATGTATAAAATACTTTGGAGATTAGGGATCAGAAGGTTAGTCAAATGTCATAAACTAAAAAAAAAATTAAAGAAAAGAAGGGAGAAATTAGAGTATGAGAGAAAGCTAGGTAGAAATAAAAGTGCATAGTTTCTTTAAACATACTAAAAGGAAAAGAGTAGCTGAAGAGAATGTTGGAACCTTATGGGGTGAAACTGGGGAGCTAATGGCAGGAAACAAGGAAGTGTTGGAAACCTTGAATTGGTATTTGGTGTCATTCTACACTATAGAAGACACAAGGAGCATCCCAAAATCAATTGAGAATCAAGGGGGAAGAGGGATGGAGGAACTTGAAACTGTCACCTTAACTACAGAAAATGTAATTGTTAAACTAATGGAACTAAAGGCTGAGCAATCCCCAGGACTTCATGTTCTGTATCTTAGTGTTTTGAAAAGGGTGGGTGATATACTTTGTGTTTTTTTTAATGTTAGTCCATGTAACATATACCAGAGAGAGTCACGTTCTTGTTGAGTCAGATGTCTTGAAGGTTACTAATAATACTAATTATTTACATTACTACCTTATCACGACTTCGACACACGGCCTGAATTCTGTGCTTACTGATGTTATTGTGTGATACACATACATAACTTACTGAACAACTCTATCACACAGAGGAGTGTCTGAGGATGAAGTGGGTACCTTTATACCAGACTATCGCATGTCATAATGTCATGTAACTGTCCTAAAACCACAAGCTTGTCTAGTCTGGAATCTGTGGCATAATATGACATCCCCTTTTTCGTTTTGAGGAATGGAACTTTTTTTCCAATAACATATACAGGGATGTAAATGATGCACTGAATCCATCCATCCAGATAATACCTGGTGGATATATGACATGGCCAGATCTATTCCTTATGCAGTTTCTCTCTGCAGTATTCTATTTGTCATACAGCTAAATATGTATGATTCATTGAGATGTACGGTTGTTGTCTGACACCATAACTTCAACATTTGAGTCAGCTTCCAGTGTGGCTGATGATATACAGTTTGAATGTGTCATCTGTTTCTTTGCAAGACATGACTATTGCTTATTCTAATGCCAAAAGGTTAGACATAACAATGTATTTTTGTATGAAGCCATGTATTCATTTGAAAATCACAAACTCTTATAATCTATCCAGTTTCAATTCAGTGTGACTATCTGCATGCTTGTTGATCATAGTTTTGTGCCATTTTCTCCCTTCTTTCAAATAATGCATCGTGCACACATGGTTGGGTGGTGAGAACGTTAGAGAAAAGAACTTTATGGATCTGCCTCTGAAGCATGACAGCTATCAGTGGAGGTAAACCATTGCCGTGTTTAGTAGCACTTAGATGTAGAGAATGTTGCTTTACAATCACAGATTTCATCTTTCAATAGTGCATTCTGTGAGATGCTTCAACTGAGGATAGTGAAGAGAGGAGATAAAATGTTAACCACCCAATTTCTCTTGCAAATGTTGAGAAGGGTGCACTAGTGTACTGCACAGTGTTGTGGAACACAATTTGTTGCAAAACAATGAACATGCTGAACATGTGGTCTATATGTCAATAACTGTTACAGTAGTAGTGTCCTGGTCTCACTAAAGGGCAATTGGTGGAACATTCAGTCACCAGAATGTAACTGTGTCCTTGGTCATAGAAAACATCAATGGTGATCTTGCACCACACCTCAGAAGGAACATCACGTGGAAGGCGATGTTGATGGAATTGATATGTTTTACTTGACTTGCTTCACTTAATCGATTGATGTCCTCATTAATGCCAGGCTAAGGTCTGAACACTCTCCAGGTCTTGTTGCATGTATATACGGACTGCTTCAGTTTCTGAGGAATCGTGAATGGTGCTGAACATTGATGGTTGCGCAATGAGGATTCTTAATTGTGACTCCACGCTTCTTGATGAAGTAGCTGAAGATGGTTGGGACTGGGGCTAACCAGCAGTGATAGACCTCTAACAGTTACAACCAACTAGCTTTTGTTAGGTATGACTCCAAATACTAGGGAATTACTCCCACAATTCCCATTAAGCTCAGTTAATTTTAGGGATCCTTAACACCACTCGGTCAATTTTTTTTATTCATTAACGGGATGAGGGCGTCGCTGGCTAGGCAGCATTTATTGCCCATCTCTAATTGCCCAGAGGGCAATCACATTGCTGTGGGTCTGGAGTCACGTGTAGGCCAGACCAGGTACGGATGGCAGTTTCCTTCCCTAAAGGACATTAGTGAACCAGATGGGTTTTTCCGACAATTGACAATGGATTCACGGTCATCATTAGATTCTTAATTCCAGATATTTATCGAATTCAAATTCAACCATCTGCCACGGCGGGATTCAAACCTGGGTCCCCAGAATATTATCTGGCTCTCTAGAAGAGCAGTCCAGTGATAATACCATTAGGCCATTTCCTGCCTGATGCCAAGGCCAATCACTCTCACCTCATTCTGGGGTTCAGCTCTTTTTGGATGAAGGCTGTATTGATGTTGGGAGCTGAGGAACACCAGCAGAATCCAAGCTGTGTATCAGGGGGCAGGTTTTTTTTGTGAAAGAGAAACGTTTTTAACTAACTTATTAAAATTATTTTTGAGAGCATACCAACCATAATGGATAATGGGGAAATAGTAGATGTGGTAGCATTTGGATTTCTAAAAAGCA